TTGGAAATTGTTTCAATTGAAACAAAAAAAAAATCTTTGAGTTTGTTTCCCTTGAAACACAAACATTGAGATTGTTTTTCTTGAAACAAGTTTTGTCTCTCTTGAGACAGTTTCCCTTGAAACACAAACATTGAGATTGTTTCTCTTGAAACAAGTTTTGTATCTCTTGAGACAATTTCCCTTGAAACACAAACATTGAGTTTGTTTCTCTTGAAACAAATTTTTTCTCTTTTGAGATAGTTTATTTTGAAACATCATATTTGAGATCGTTTCCCTTGAAACAAATTTTGTATCTCTTGAGACAGTTTCTCTTGAAACATCATCTTTAAGATCGTTTCCCTTGAAACGAATTTTGTTTCTCTTTAGACAGTTTATCTTGAAACATTTATCCCTAAAGATGGACAGTCATCCCCATCACATAGGAACCGTATCATCCACCAATCAGATCTCCTCATTATGTAGGACCCACATCAACCTTAGATAACTAGCCATCCTCATCGCGTAGGAATCGTGTTATCATCATCCCTAAAGATGGCCAGTCATCCTCATCGCGTAGGAATCGTGTCATCCACCAACCATATCTCCTCATCACGTAGGAACTATGTCACCCTTAGATAGCCAGACTTTCTCATCACATAGGAACCGAGTTATCTCCAAATTTACCTAAAAATTACTAGAACTCTTCATCGCGGATGAGCAGTGTTGTATCTTCTATCAAATTTCAAAACCAAAAAGAGAACCGGACAAAAACTTGTTGTTTTTGCCATATTCTTGTTAACACAAGAATGTGCAAAGAGGGGTACCTGTAAACACCCGTTTTTGTTCAGGTTCTACGTTTGTTATTTTATTATTATTATTAATTAATTATTTTTTACAAGCCTTAGTTACAAGGCTCAATCCTGAAGCCCAACATCCCAGCCCACCAGAACCCAAATACAAGACCCGAATGGAACTCAAGATCCGACCCATCCAAGCCCAATAGTCGACCCGACCCGACTTAGTTAGGGTTTCAAAACCCTAGCTCCCATCTAGTCGTTGCCAGTGAAGATGGACACTCCATCGTCAGCGCGTGTGGTACACGCACCTGATCCATCGTCTTTCAGACGTGCGTGAGCTACACAGGTCTCTTCCCCAATCACACCGCCTTCGTCGATATCAATAGGGGCTTAACAATACCCAAAATAATGAAGAATCAGTCAAATAATAGCCAAAATCATAAATATCTCACCAAATTGAAAAAAAAAACCATATAAAAATGAAATAAATCCCGGAAAACTAGGATTTTACCCACTCGGCTCAGAAATGTCAATCAACAATCATATATAACAAGTATACAACCATAAATCAAGAAGACAAAGTGGAGATAGGGGGATTGGACAGAGGGAAGCATTCGGTGAGAAAAAAAGATAGAGAGGAGATATTGGGGGTCTCGAATAAAACCAGAAAAAATAGAAAACAAAAAGAAAAGATAAAGAAAGTGAGGGAGATCTTACCCTTATAAAGAAACCCGGTCATTGTAGCCTCACCAGAACGAAGAGAAACCACCATCGAAGGTAAAACTTTCCCCTCTCTTGGATCTAGGGTTTTTGAATAGGTGGGTTTCGGTTTTGTTTGGGTAGGGGAAGGGTTAGTTTTCAAAGAAAATAGATAATGGAAGGTCAGAGGTTGGTCTCGGGTTGTTTTCCCTCGCCATTGCCGCTAATTACGACGGTCGTGGCTTCTATTGACTACTTTATGGAGGAGAAAAGAAGGAGGAGTAGATGAAAGAGTTGAGAGCATTTCTCATTTCTCTCCCCTTTGATTTAGAGAAAGTGGTGGGGTTGAAGGGCCAGTTAGAGTGGAGTTTTTGGTGTATTTATGTTATCGGTAAAACACTGTCATTTTGGGAGGGGTCAGATGAGCATTTTCTTGTTTTAGGGTAAATTATGTCTAGGGCATCTGGTTTTTGTAATCTTCGTTTATGGTCACTTATTGTAATTTTGTCGTTTCATATTTCGAGCCCCACATTTGTTAAGATTGTATATTGGCACTTGGTTGTTTATTATGTATAGTTTGTTGGTATTGGATATTATCTTCTATATTTATGAAACTTGCATTATGGTCACTTGATGTAGTTTTAAACATTACTATTTCGAGCTCATCATTTATTTTATGTTGTATCTTGGTCCATGTGGATTTATATTTATGTTTGTTTATATTTTAATTCGGTTGTTGCTTTTGGGATAATATCTTTTTGGTCCTTCGAATGTGTTAGTACATAATTTGGGTCATTATTATATAGGGCTCTAGGTTTAGCTTAATTTTCATTTTAATCTTCACTTTATTTGTTTTTTTATTCGCTGTGTTTTGGTTAAATCTTAGTCAAGTGCCCAAAGTTTTATTTCTTTCACTTTTGGTCCTATAGTTTATTTTGGAATTATTACCCTCAAATACTCTTATTATATGATGTTTGTATGTTAGATATAATTCTTGATAAATTCACTGATTGCTTTTTATTATTCTTTTTTTAAATCCGTCATGCTTACACGTTTTTATTTTTGCCCAAATTTGTTACTTTATGTTTTATTATCAGTTCGTATTAATGCATAACCTCATATAGGAGTACATATATGTATGTCAATCAAATAGATGTTATTATTCATTAGTATTAAAATAGTTTATTTGTTCTCATTGTATTATTTGTATGTGTGTAACTTTAAATATAGATATATATTTTAATTTATCGTTTATTTTTATTTTTATATTACTCCATTTATCGATACATTACTCGAACATTTTCAAGAACACCAATTTATAGAATGGGTGTGCAAAGCATTACTTGATAGAAGTATTGTGATTCGATACGACATTCGAACGAAATGTAAATTTGAAATAAATCTAGTTTATTTTACTAACTAAATCTTTTTTATTATTTAAATGATCCACTGCGTTGGTTATGGAGCAATTTATCTTGCTGTATATAAACATCAATTTTTTAATTTATATTTGATTCACGTTATTAAATCAATGAGGGAATATTCTTTTTAAATGAGAAATAGATGAGATAATCTTCTCATTGGAGTCTTCCCTATGTGTAATCGACTCCCTTTCAAATTAATTCAAATCAATTCATAAATCTCCAATTTTTCAAATTAAAGTCATAATTATTTTTAAAATATTATTTAATTTTTTTCTTGACACTATATATATATATATATATATATATATATATTATAGTTCTTTTAATTTGATCCTTGAATGTTGTTTAATTTATTTAAATCTTATCTTGTAATTTCACATTTGTTCAATTTAGTCCTTTAAATTATATTTGTATATGAAATTGGCCTATAGTTATTTATATTTTTATAATTTACTTCAAACCCAATAAATCAAATAATAAACTTCATTTCAAACTCTATAAATTATATCATAATCTCCAAACCCTTTAAACATTTTTACCATCTTTTTAAATGGATTCAATTTTATCCATTTTATATTAATTTCAACTTAACTTTTTATAATTATTTTGATTTGATCCCTTATCCTTGCGTGTTGTTTAATTTATTTAACTTATTGTTTATAATTTCATGTTTATTCAATTTAGTCCTTACTTTTTTATTAAAATTGACCCATAATTATTTTTATATATTTTTTTATAATTTACTCCAAATCATATACAATTACAAATTATAATTTGTCTTTCATGAAGGACAAAAAATAATTAATCCAAAAATGACCCGACTTAAACTCAATTTGTACTCTATAAGATCCAATCTAAATTTTGTTTGTCAATGATGTGACCCGATCTGAACGAGATCAACTAAAGTCCATCTGAACCTGAATTAACCTGGTATTTAACTGTTTCGGACCTAAACCGTTTGGACCTTAACTGATATCTATTCGAACTGAAATTAACCCGATCTGAACCCATACTTAAATCTGGTGTCAAATCAACTTAAAAATGATCCAAACTGATTTGACCCGATCTTATCCGAGTCAAACCATCAAATTGACATGACACGACTTGTATTCGATTTGAACTGACCTGACAGGATTCGACTAAAACCTGAACGATTACCTGATTTGACCTAAAACTAATAGTAACAAAACTCTAAAATGAGCAACCTAAAAATTAACCCTAAAAACAATAACCCTAAAATCAACCCTAAGAAAACCTTAAAATTGGTGGTGCGTTGAGATGATTTTGGGACGATGGCGCTTCCTTGAGAAGGTGTCTTCCGTCATGCTAGAAGAAAACTTTTTATTGTGGCAGCGCCTTCATCCTATGTAGTAAAAATGAGTGTCATTCTGAAAAAATAAAATTTTTGTAATCTTATTTTGATAATTAAATATTTTTAACTATTATTTTAATTATTTTACCACTATATAACTCCATTATTTTCCGAAATCGATAATAATAGACACCACTTCAAAATACACTTAAAATATAAAATATTTTAAATTTGTTACTAGGAAATAATATATATATATAAGAAAAAATTTCATCTTTTGTGTTTAAAATTTTTATCAAGTTGACTTTTAGTTTTTAAAAGAAATATATCATTAACTAAATAATACAAATTTCAATCATCCATATTTGTATTTTTTAATGATCAAATTAATAAAAATTATAAACATAAAAATTTAAAAGCAATTTTTATCTTTTTTATAAATGTTAAATTGATAAATAACGTTAAAGTGTAACAAAATTTAATAACGTAATCGAGATGTTTAAATAAAAAGAATATTGTGATTCAGTATGACAAAATTAAAATAATAATAATTTTAAAATAATATAAGTACTATTGTCATATTTAAACTAAATATAAACTATTTTAAACAGAATTACAAATGATTAAAGCTATAGTTTTCCTTGTCAATATAAGGGTCACTGAAATTATCAAATGTTATCCATATGCAATTTGACTCTTTTTCGAGCACCTCATATTTTCTGTTTATCAAAAGCTAGACGACTGAAATATAAAAAAAGACTCCAACAAACAAAAATTAAAAAAACCAAAAATCCAGTCCATAGTTTTATTCCCAGTTATCTTCCTTTCCAAATAGATTATCAAAGGATGGCTCTAAAAGGCTGTTTCCAGTTGAGCTCGATTTACAACACCAGAGCCACTGTGCTTCAAAGCTTCCCTCATCATTCTTCTGCATCTGTTGAGAAGATCCATTTGCTGACATTTAGTGGGTTGAAATTCAATAAAACCAGTTTATCATTCACTGGTAGATCCCAAAAATCCAGGCTTGTATGCAAAGCTAGTGATGCTGTTGCTCAAGGTAAGCATCTTTTTCTCTTACATATCTACTCTTTCTGACTTCATCTAAGTTTATCTGCAATTTGCAGTTGAGCAAGTGACAGAGGCAAACTGGGACAAGCTTGTCGTCGGCAGTGACAAGCCAGTTTTAGTCGATTTTTGGGCGCCATGGTGCGGACCCTGCCGAGTGCTTGATCCAGTCATAGCTGAATTAGCCAAGGAGTATGCTGGAAAGATTGTTTGTTACAAGCTCAACACCGATGAATGCCCTAACATTCCGACGAAATTCGGGATTAGAAGCATCCCGACCGTGCTGTTCTTCAAGAATGGAGAGAAGAAAGAGAGTATCATTGGTGCAGTGCCCAAGGCTACCATTGCAGCTACACTTGAGAAATATATTGATGCCTGAACTTTGAAGCAAAACCATTTCTTGTAAGAACTCTACATGGTTTGTTCATGCCATGCTATGTCAGTTTCTTTATGAATAATCCATTTCAAATGACAATTTATGCTCAGTAATTTATTATCCTTCCACTTTGCTTGTGCAGTAAAGGAAAAATATAATCATGGTAAACAAATTAATAGGAAATTGGAGCAACTTCAAAGTTGCCGTCAATAAAACACTATGCTATATGTTCTTCACTTTATAAGAAATTAGTACACAGTGGGAGGAAAGGCCTTGATCTATCATATAGTGTAATCAAAGAAAAACCCAACAGGTTTTTTGCACATCAGTTTCTCATGGGGAAGGATTCCAATCAAATTGACAATTATTAAAACCTTTGACTGTTCCAAGCCCATTCAATAGCTGCTTCCCCATGTCCTGTTGTTGGTGGTTCATGAGTTGTTCCCGAGCCATCTGCACCATACCGATCCTACCGTTCATGACCGGGTTGTTTCCCATTGTTGCTCTGATTCCATTCATTATAGCAGACTGGCCAAGTCCACCACTCATTGAACCAAACCCAACGCCACTAACTGGATTATTGCTGTTGATGACCCCGTTGCTGATCAAAGTGTTGCCGCTGTTGAGAACTGTATTGTTGCTTGGTGGTAGCATTCCGTTTACGCTCGTCACATCATTGCTTAGAGTGCCGGCACTAACCATGCCACCGGTATTATTGAGTTGGCTAGACATTATTTCATAAATGATTTTCTGAACGGAACTTTGCGATTCATTGGGGTCTGCCTCACCAGAAAGAGCTAGCTGCTGCATGGGCATGTTCATTGCCGGAGAATTTGTGGAACTCATGTGACTGGAAGCTGCTAAGGCGCCATTTGGAGCTTGAGGAGGATTTGCTTGTGCTTGTGTTTGTGGTATTGTGGTAGAGGAGCCCGGCGATGGAATCTGAACAGAGTTTCCACCATAGGGACTGCTTGCATTATTTATAGAATTCGGCTGCCTGGAGCTCATGGAATTCTGGTGTAGAGGCCCAGCGATGGTTCCGGCAGATGTCGATGCAGATGCTACATTAAGTGAGTTATTCATATTAGCCACACCATTGTTAGCAGGAAGCTGCATCCCAGAAGCCTGGGCATTACTTTGATCACCATTAGAGCTCTGGGCTATCATTTGCTGTTGCGATGTCTGCTGCTGCTGTTTTAGCTGTTCCTCGGACTGTTGAGCTTGAGCATAAAAACCAGATGAAGCGCTTGTTCTTCGAGGGAACTTAGCCAAACTCTCTGCCGAAAAACAAAATGAATGAGATAACCGTCCAGCCAAGAAATCATAGAGCCAACACGAACAAATTAATCTGAAGCTAAACTAGAAAGTTCTTATTTCTCTCACTATTTGCAAAATACAAACACACTATTTTCAATGGTACAGCTAAATGAACACATCGGGTTGTTGATAACCAAACACCAAGAACCCTTTCAAAGTGCAAAATATAAAACGTAAGAAAATATCACACGACCAGCCGACCACAAGCAGATAGTCAGCGAGAGCTTACTGAACTCCCACTGAAATTAGGTTAAAGGTAAACTGTTACAAAAATGGAGGTTACTAGAAACTCTGAAGAGCAATTGCAGGATGCCTGGACTGCTACTTTCAAGTGTTTAGAAATATATTTAAAATGAAAAAGCCAATGAGAAGGTATAATATATTTAGCAAAGTAGATCTTGTCAAAACTTACCCATGGGTCCGGTCCTCGTTTCTCTGCTATAATCAATCAAGTCTTTCATGCTATTAACCACTTCAGATATCTGTTGAAACCCCAACAAAATAAGGAAACAATGCATTAGACAATACACATTTCAAAAGAAAAATTCTTCATAGAAATACAACTACAAAACTTGAGTTCACATTTTAGTTTTTTCCATTGTCACTCATAACATATAACAGACATTTTGATGATGGAAATACATTCAATATGGAGCAAAAAGAACTCGATAAGATTGTAGGAATCACCTGAAGACATCGCACGTATCTCTTTGTATAACCCAAATCATTTACCAATGGCACTTCCAAGGCTTTAGCCAATTGCCGAGCTGATGCTACAAACCTAAAGTTCATTCATAGCTAATTAGAAATCCATGCACGTAACATAGATCACACTAAAATGTATTTAGTAAACAGAAAAAAGTAGACAGATACACTGCAAGTTGGTTTAACATCCCCACCGCCCAAGAACATGGGTGTGTGAGAGAGACCAACACTCTAACCAGGATCTATGAGACTTTTCATTTATGACCTTTACAAACCGAATACAAAAGGACATACAAGTTACAGTTATTCTGCAAATCTGGAGCAGATAAATTTGTTGATGCGTTTTGAGTTGCAGCTTGATACTTTTGAGCTGCCGCCCCAAGCTGACTAACCTGTACCATCCAGAATTACAACCATCAAATACAACCAAATGGCATATAAACAGCGATCATACAAAATGATAATCCGCTTCATAGTTTAGGGAAATAACAAGAAAAATAAGATGATTCAGTATCATCATTGATATGTTATTTTCTAGACTACAAGAACAGTGCAAAAGGAAGATTTCATGCAGCCGATCATAAAATAGAAAACATCCTAACTTATTGATCGGTTATCTTTGTAAAAGCAGAACATAAAGAAATGTTGATGGATCTCCTGTACTTAAACTCAATCAGCAAGTCTCCATAGACTTCATACGGTCCAGAAATACTGTCAGCAGCATATATCAGACATTCTCAAGCCATAGAGACTCATAACCTGAGGTATCAATAATCTTCTAGGGATGAGTTCTTCATGACGCCGAGCACAAAATTCCCAAGAACATATCTGGTGAAAAGAATATAAGAGCCAAAACTTTGTTAATGATACCCCCCAAAATGTTCAAAGTAAATGTAAAGCCATTACTTCAATTCGTAACCTTTAGATCTGGTGAGAAAACTATCCGAAGCTGACCATCACGAACAACACGAAGTTGCTCAAAAACACTTTCTTGTATTGCTTTTGCATAGTCCAAGACAATTTGGCCCGATGAAATCTGATACTCACGGGGCATATCAACATAAAGAAGTTCTTCTAAAGTACCACTTTCATATTTAATCTTGAAAAGCCTAGGGAGAACTTCGACAGTCGCCTCTGAAAACACAATAGGAAGGTATTAATATATAGGAGAGAAATGGATAAATTAGCCCGCAAGAAACCAAAATATACCAATTTATGCAAGAATAAGATGACATTTAAGTTTGTTGCAGCCCATATGTAGCACAATACATATTAACCACACTAATATACAATGAGAGAAAGATGAACAACCACAAAAGGAGACAAAAGAAAGAAAAAAGCATACCAAAACCACGTCCTGGCTTCCGATTGCATATTTCACAGTGCCATACACCCTGTAACATTTATACAGTGGTTTAAACCTCCTTTATATTAATAGTTAGTCATTAGAAACAAAAAATATAACATTATATACTCAAACCAGGAGGAAAATTTCATCTATAAGGTGAGCAAACAAACAAAGATACAAAGTTCTAAAGATGACAACTTCATTCAATGAAATAAGAGTGCCAGTTGAATAAGAAGACTTGGAAAGTTTTAATCAGAAGCAGACCTGAGGGAAAACACCAGTTGTTTGGCAGCCACTTCCATACAAAGAAACACACCACTTCTTTTTGGCATTCGGTGCAAAATACTCGGCAACAAATTTTCTCCAAAATTCAATGTTGTTGTCCTACACAGAGAACAAGAATGTTACATACACAAAGCCACTCAATGCAGAGGAAAAGATCTTTAGCCATGGAGATCTTACTTCAGGTCTATGTTGTTGCTGATAAATGTAATGTGTCAGACGCCGGGCACACATCCCGGGCTCATATGCTGATTTGACGGGTGATCTCAAAGGCAAATTCTGCTGTTGAAACTGCTGCTGAAATTGTGACCTTTGTTGAGGTATTGCTTTCAAAAGTTGCTGCTGGTGTTGTAGCTGTTGAAGCTGCAAGAGTCTTTGTTGATGCAAAAGATTAATTTGGGCGGCAGCAGTTTGTGGGGACTGCCGTGAAATTTGGAGTAAATGTTGCTGTTGCTGCTGCTGATGCAAAAGCAATGACTGATCTGAATGTTGAGGTTCCATTTTTACCTGTGCCAAAGTCCTTGTAGGCGGGATTTGTTGTGGTTCCAGTTTAACAGGAGCAAGATTTCTACACGATTGCAACTGTTGCTGCTGCTGGCCATGCTGATCATTAGCCAGTTGTTGCGGCTCCAATTTGACGGCTCCAACGCCAGCCAAGCCTCCTCTAATAGATTGAAACTGTTGTTGTTGCTGCTGCAGCAGCTGTCCTTGCTGGGTGTTGTGAGGTGCAGAGACTTGTTGCATTCCCGGTTGACCATGTTGGAAATGTTGTGACTCAGGTTGTTGGGGTTGCTGTTGATCCGGTAAAATAAGGTTTCCAGAAAGGTTTGAAAATTGTTGGCCTTGAACTTGACCAGATGATCCAGGGTTTGCCATGTTCGATGGCACAAATGATGATGATGGGGCATTAAACCCCATCCCAGTACCAACATTTGAAAGTGGATCGGATTCAGCCCCTGGGTCAATTCCTCCACGCTGAATGCTCCCAGGACCAGAAAGCTGAGGGTTCAGACCCCCATTCCCGAATGACTGATTAAGAAGGGAAGACACATTAGGCACATTCCCAAGCATATTCATATTGCTAAACCGAGTTCGAGGGGACACTAATGAAGGGAACCCGGATTGAGAAGGAAGACCACCGCCTTGTGACCCTAACATCCCCGAATTAGTCCGCAAAAGAGAAGATGGAACTGACTGTGCACCACCTATAGGAGTAGAAGGACCCAAAGGCACCATGTCACAAGAATCACTACCTAAAACTCACACACAAAACTGAACCAACTATCTAAATAAACTACTGTTACAGAACAAATCACAACAATGCAGCCATAGAGCTCAAAGAAATCAGCAGTTTATCCCCTGCTTTCAGCTTCCCACTCATTGTGCACAAAAAACAAGGGTTCGGTTCAGTGCCTGAGGATATAGCTTCGTGTTCCATAATACAAGCTCCCCCAAGAAGGAGCTCTGATTCTGAGCATTCTAACATTACAGACAAGCAACAGTTGAAAGGCTTTCGCAATAATTCCTGTAGAGAAAAAGAACACGAGAATCTTCAGATCCACTGTAACATAAATCATCTCCAAAAAAAATAGTAACAATTAGCAGAAATATAATTAATACTTTCAACCAAAAAAGAATGTAACTTTAGATTCCAATAAGCATATAATCAAACACCACTCAAAGAAAAACCCAAATCTCAAAAACTAACAAATTTCATCAAAATCCTACAAAGTTTTACTTAAATTTAAAATAAAGCCACAAAAATTCACTTACCAATCTCAAGTATTTAGCCTCCGAAATCCCCCAAAAATTGCAACTTTATTAAAAGAAAAAACTAATGCTCAACCAAATACATTAAGAAAACCAACTAAACTCGATCCAGCCACTAGCAGCACAAATCAATGATCCAGACATAAACCCAGAAAAGATAGAAGACAAATAACAAAACGGTCAAAGCTAAAAAGACTTCCAGAAGACTTACCCGAGTTACAAAAAATTCCACTGCTACTATGAAAAGATAAACAAAGAAGAAGGGGCAAGGGGAAAAAAAAGAGAAAAGGAAGTTTCCGAAATCTTCAAAACTTTGATTTCAATCAAAACACACCCAAAACAAAATACCCAAATTTTCTTTTGAACTCTCTTTCACTTCAATTCTTTTACGTTTTACTTCAATGAACTGAAGCAATTAATATGGTTTTTACTCACTTCACCAGGGAAAACAAAAACTAAATCAATTTTCTTTTCTTGTCTAAGTACGTACCCTGCTCTTCTCGGCTTCGTTGTGTTTAGAGAGAGTATTTTTTTTATTGTCCTCTGCGGACGTCAAAATTGCATTCCATTAGATTGAATTTTCCTTTTTCCCTTTTTTTCATTTCTTAATTTACATGTGGGTGGCAGTGGTGATGTTTTTTTCGAAAAATTATCGGTGATTGGTATATTTAACGATCTAATATCGGTCAGATTATATTTTTTGATTTAACATCCGTAGCAGTCAAGCGTGTCCCTGAACCGCACTATATGTTAATTTGACGCCACGTGGAATATAGCGCGCCCCTGTACCGCGTTATATGCTGACTGAGTTACACGTGAGGTATAGCGCGCCCCCTGCTCCGCGCTATACGCCACGTAGGGGTATAGCGCGGATCAGGGGGCGCGCTATAAGTCGTACCAAAATTATATTTTAACGCGGTCACTGGTCCGCGCTATATAATAATTACATATAACGCGGTGCAGGTACCACGCCTTCTATGTTTATAAATACACTCCTCCGGTTCTCACATCTCCTCGCATCTCTCCTCTATCATAAATTAATACAACAATTCCGTCAACGAGTAATAATTCTAGCAATCTTCTCATATTTGATTTATAAGTTCGTGCGATTTTTCGTTATAAGGTAATTTTGTTATAATTTTTTAATTATACTTATTGTTTATTATCATTATTTGAAAAAATATTATACTAATTATTTTCAATTAATTTTTATGTTTGTAAAATTGAAAAGCGGGAGCATACGTCGAAATAGTTTTGCGGTGCAGGTAATAATATAAAATTATATTATTTAAATTATTTTCGTTGATGTGTTAAAAAAAATTTGTGTTATATTTTCGTTTATATATAATTTATTTAATCAGGTTTGTTTCAGTTATTTTTTTTTGCAGATATAATATTGCCGCACTTTTAAACTTAAAGAATGGCGCGACTTCAGCTATTGCTTATTATGATGGTGAAATTCAAGAAGATGAAACCGACGTTGTTTTCGTATCAAATGAGCGTGTTAAAATATCATTCAAGAGAAACATAACTCTTGAGGAGCTGATAACGAAGATTTCGAGGAAGATTCATGTTGGAAGTAGTAGAAGAATGTCGTCGTTGCAGTATAGATTTTTAACATCATTGTTGCCATTAACTTATACAACGTTCGAACTTTCGAACAATGATGATGTTCAAATGATGGTTGAAGCTCAAAGTAATCATTCAGACGCCGCTATTGAGATGTATGCACATTTTGTTCAAGTGCGTGCTGTTCGGGGTCAATCTTTAAGCTCACACTATGGGCTGGCTGAACAAGTTGATTAAGTTGACAGCCCGACTACAGTAATGTGTAATGATTTTAATGCCATAATGGGGAGACATTCATTCGCAACTCCTTACGATATGTACCGAGGTGGGTCGACGAACAATCCGTATGGCAACATCGCGTCCAGTTCAAGGGGAAGAAATTCATCTGCAAATCCCTTTGACCTTAATATGGAGATACCATCAACGCAACAATCTGTGCAGTTTCCATTTGACACGATGGCTTCAAGCTCCATGGGGAGGTATTCGACTGCGAGCTTTTTCGATCTGAATACCGATATGCCTTCCAGTTCAAGGGGAAGGCGTGCAAGTAGTAGGTTCTTCGACTTAAATGTGGAGAGCATGGAGGAACCATCATCTCCACTAGAAGAACCGCTTCGTGAGCCTGGTGCGGATGGTGCTTAGACTGGACTATTCATTCACCCAGAATCATAGCAATTCAACTCCGATGATGATGAAGTTCCAGGAAATGTGGCACAAACTGACCCTCTTGCACACATGTATAAAGCTGATTATGGTGCAATGTACGGGCCAGAATTTGCGAATATGCCTCATCTCGGTGACTATGGATATTACTCATCAATAAATAATGGTGAGTTATCTTTAGGCATGGAGTTTTCAAGCAAAGAAGAAGCGATGATGGCTCGTATACACGTTAAGACTATAACCATTTTGTGGATCCCGTATACCTACTATCTAAAGTTTTTAAGGTATACGAATTTGAGTTTCCCCATATAGGTAATGACAAAGACCTTGATGAGGTTCAAGATTAGCTTCCGATTGTACCAAATCCGAGTTTATTGAGGTAGCGTGGTCGTCCAAAATCCAATTGAATTCATTGCGATATGGATATTCGAGAAAGATCTAGACAAGACAGAAGATGTGGCCATTGTAGAAACCCAGGACACACTAGAAAAACATGTCCACTTCTGTTGTCATCAAGTAACAATTGATGAGGAAATGATGTATTTGTTTATCAAATAATAATTCTTGTATTTTAATTTGCATTTACTTCAAGTTAATGTCATTCGATAATCGCTGATGAAGATTAAAAAAATGAACACAATCATTAAATTTTATCAAACTAATAACAATTTGGTATTTAAATACAACAAACTTACAATAAGAATTAAATGGTAAATGATAATCAAATTACAATAACTGATATTAAATGGTAATAAACAAAATTAACTGAAATATATTAAAAAAAAGTCCATCAAATTTAACAAAATAAAGTAAATATTAAATGAGAAATAATAAAAAATTACAATTAAACAAAATAAAGTAAATAAAAATATAATAAAAAATCTATCGATGCTTGCGTCGCGAATGTGTTCCGCATGGCGGTGGCTGTCGGTCTCGAGGAGGATTTCTTCGTATCACTGGTTCTGACTCCTCGCTGTCATCGTCGTCGTCGTCGTCACCATCGTCGTCGTCGTCGTCGTCGTCCTGAGCAGGTATATTAGGTTGATGAGGAGCTGATGACGATGAAGCACCTCCATAGAATAAGGACCCTGAAGGTGTATGACTGACTATCCCACCGGCCTGCGAAAACTTGGAAAACTGGGAAAACCCAAACATCGCTGAGTGTGAAAACTGTAAAGGAGGTGTCTGTGCTGTAGCAATGGGTGATGAGGCTGAACCCGCCAAATATCCAGTATATGAACCCTAAGTCGAATATGCAAATATAGACCCATAATAGCCTCCAGGAGGGGTTATCTGTGACGGTGGCGGTGGCGGGGTCATAAAACCAGGTGAAGGCGGTGGCGGCGGCATCTGGTAATGGAAAGGCGATGGCGGCATCATATATGGTTGCGACATCATATATGGCTGCGGTGGATGTTGGGAAGGTCCTGCTGGTGCAGCTGAGGATGAACCGGAAGCACCTGCTCTCCGTCCATGAGTCGGGGGACGATGGTGATGTGTCAGTGAACGTCTCTGTCGACATCGTGGAAAGGTCTGCCCTCGTGCATCCTCGGGAAGTAGAAACGGTTTCCCGTTACTGTTGAACCACTCATAATAATCCTCAGCATACATCAAGAAGTCATAATCCACAACACGACCCACCCATGATGCCTCACCAGCCAATCTGTATCTGTCTTGCCGCGTCTATTTAAGCTATGTAACTCGTCCATATTGCGAGGTACTTTCGGAATTGGTTGAAAACAACCAAACTGCCGGAGCACACGATCAGTGGAGTGCCACTCGACGGTCGGATAACAGATCAGAGGGACCATCGCCATCCAAACATCTGATGGACCCCTCAACTCAGGTGGGAACACCGCCCTCACATCATCAGTAGAATATGGCACCTATTCAAACTAAAACAAATAATATATAATTTTTATCAAAATAATAATCTAATTATATAACTATAATCTAAAATCGATTTTTAAACATTAAAATTCATACTTGTGTTCCAGCCTTCTGATCGATTAGCACCCTAATTTTTTCTAAATCATCAGGTAGCTCCTGATGATTTTTACTATCAGTAGACCACCTATTCAAGGAAAAAAATTTGTTATACCCTGTATAAAATTATTAATATACAAAATCAGTTTTATAATTACCTCAGAAGTAGTGGAAATACAAATAGGTTCTTCATAACGGGACATAAAAAGGGCAATCGATACCATGCCCAAGACAGCAGCAGCAGGAGACATCCGCCGATAGCATTACGCCTGTAGTCAGTGGCTCCACACATCTCCCTGTACAGCAAAGCCAAAACTGCCGAGCCCCAACTGAATGATCTGGCGAGACGAAAGTCGCTAAGATGTCGCAACCACATGTAGTGAACTAGGTTGCGTGATTTGTCCGGCATTAGCAACCCTCCTATCAGCTGCAGTATGCATGCCCGTGCATACATCTTAACCTCATCCTCAGAGGCGTCTGCGCTCAACTCCCGAAAATTGTCATCTAACCAATTTAACGGTATCCTACATCCGATAAAATTTTCCGGGACACGTCCTAGACTATCCCGACACAAAGTAGTCCAAGAACCGGAAGCTATCCTCGATATCACATCTCCATCCATCAGAAGCCCCAGGTGCATAGAAACATCCACAAGTGTGATCGTGCACTCTCCGCATGGAAGATGGAATGTGTGGGTTTCCGGCCTCCACCGCTCTACTAAGGCAGAAATCAGGTCTGGCTCTATCTTACAGTGACCCTGATATCTACCTATGTAACTGAATCCAACCTCTACTAAATACGGCAAGACACGGCTGGGTATCACTAACTTAAGATTCCTAATAAAAGAATCTAATACATGGTTCTTCTCCTAAAAATAAATAATTACAAAAATTAATTCTTAATCTAATAATCATGCATTAAATAAATCAACTAATTATTACTAATAATTTAAATTAAATTAAAACGTTAAAATGTTACCGTATCAGCAAAGTGTCGAGATATTTAATTCTTAATCTAATGATCATGCATTAAATAAATCAACTAATTATTACTAATAATTTAAATTAAATTAAAACGTTAAAATGTTACCGTATCAGCAAAGTGTCGAGATATTTAATTCTTAATCTAATAATCATGCATTAAATAAATCAACTAAATATTACTAATAATTTAAATTAAATTAAAACGTTAAAATGTTACCGTATCAGCAAAGTGTAGAGATATATGATTTCCATCCGAGCGAAGTAGACTGCCTTCCATTATATA